AGCATATAAATGCTTATGGATTTTTTTTTTATGCTATATAGTGCAATCATCAACAGTAGTGGAAAATTTTACTATTGAAATGTCTGTATGTCAGTTTTCTCATCTGTAAAAGTTAGCTTTTGTAGTTGTGATTGCCTATTAACAAAGATAAGACAGGATCTGTAGATTGATGTAGTATTTTTTCCATTAGTCCAAACTATATTTCACGCACACCAGAAAGTACATAATGTAATTTTTTTCCAACTGTACTAACTATTCTAATAGAAGATCTTAATTCCCTTACAAACATTGCCTTGCTCTTCTTTTGTAAACCCATTCAGCAAACTTTGTATGATGTGTGCACTATTAAAGGTGGCTTTTCATCTCCAGTTACTTGGAAGAGAGGATACTGAGGACATTAGCAAATGGCTGGTGATGAGTAAGAAAGGTAATGGTCCCCTTTGCTGGTTTTTTTCCTCACTGCTTCTCTGCCAGATATTCCTACAGTCGCATGCAGAGGCAGAGAGCTCAGAAGCACTCGCAGGGTGCTTTCAGACTGATTCCCAGTGTTTAGTTCACTGTTTCCACTGTGGAGTTCCTAGCTGGATTGCTGCAGGAATGTGTCTCTCTGCTCTGTCTTAAATAATTTCACCGATAACGTGATGCATTGGCATGTCAGACATTCAGGTGGTCTAGTCACCTGCTTCTGCTTTTAAAATTGATGGTAGCCAGGAACTTTTGGACTTCCTTATCCCCACAAAGCTCAGGAAATACAGTAATTGACACAAGTGTGCAAATCGATAACTGTTGACCTTTGTGAAAGCTTAACTGGCATGTAGCTCCCAGGACAGGGCTGCTGAGTCAGCTCCACTGTATATAAACAGACAACCCGCTCACTGGCTCTGTGTTAATTGTGGTATAAAGAGAGCTGCTGTTCCTCAGAAAATAATGCCTCATTATAAATAGACAAATTTGTGGGACTTATGCAGATCACATTTTTCTGCAACTTGATGGCTCGTCAGAACTGGTAACCTGATTATATTAGCCAGGCTGTAATTGGCACTCCAATTAGCTTTGATTACAGCAGACAGACATTTATAGGAAACTGTGGTGTGTAAACTTGAAAAATGGCTGTAATGTGTCTGAGATACTTGATCAGAGGACTGTTAGTTTGTGGATCCAGAACCAAGGAGATGGCAACTGCAGTAGTGAAAACTCTTCCCATCTCTCTCCCTCCAGCACAAGCAGCAATCTTCTGCAGGGAGAGAAGCCTCTTTATACTGTATCATCTAGACAATTTTCATATACTTTCAAGTAAGCACAAACCCCCCAAAAGTCATGGGCTGAAGAGAAGACTTAAAAAGAAACCCTTGCTATCTTCTTGGGTACATCTTGTCACAAGCTCAACCAAAGCAAGCTAATGCTTGTGAATAAAGTTTCTTGGAGAAAAAAAAAAAAGACAAAGCTTTCCTGAGAAAGGCTTCCTGCCATATGTTAATTTCAACAGATGTCCTCTGGATAGTTTAAAAATCTATCTTTCTCATGAAAATGTTAATATTCTTCTAATGAAGTACTCCCCTAATCCTGCTGTTGCTTTTCATAACCCAGTGCAGTTGAGTTCATAGTAGGGGATTCCACGCTCCTTCCCCTTGCTCTCCCCAGCCAAGAGGACAAGCTGGAAGGAAGCACAAAAGCACAGGCAGCAAATGTGAAAGGCAACAGGTTGCTCTCTCTGGCCCTGCCTGAGCCCTGCAGGGAGAGGATGACCAGAAATCCTATATGCCATCGTGCCTGCAGACATGGATGCTCGGACCATAAGCCCCAGGTTTTCAGCTTGGGATGATTTCCCAGCTGGGGCTGCCTGATGGCTTTGGACGGTCCCACCTAGACTCTCAGAAATGCTCTGCCTGCCTTTAAACTCTGGATATATGGAGCATATGGTACAGGTAGCAACTGAAACATTGTAGAACTTAGTTTTCTCCTTTCTTTCAGTCAAAACAGGGAAAGGTTTTTTTTTGAATGTCATATACCAGGTTTTCTTTTGAGAAGCAGTTTAGAAAATTCATTCTGAAATATGTCTCTTATGACCTTTCCCTGGAAGTACTGTGGCTGCCAGTGTTTCGGGAATGGGCAGAGAAATCCCAAGCAATGCAAGTGCACATCACATCTTTAAAAAACTTTTGTCTCCTCTGAGGAACAAAAAAAAGTCTGTATTAAAAAGAAAAATGTAATTCTTCGGTGGTGTTATCAAGATCCAGAGTTATTTTATCAAATATTGTTTTAGTTAAAAATATATTAACTTTCAGAGTTTTTCTGAGAAAAAAAATGAAGTGGCTGCAAAAACCATAGTCTCTCTTGTGAAGAAGTAATATTGCTTATTGTTTAGTTCCAAATGTAGGAGCACACTGAAAATGTTGAAGTAAAGAACCGATAGCGGTGTGGAAGCAGTGCTGGCCAGGCCGTGCTGTCTGCTTCCAGCTGCCTTCTGACACAGCTGGAAACCCAGCTCTGTGCTTGCTTATCTGAGGGAAACCCCACAGTGTATCCATGTGAAATTTCAACAGAAGATCCCGTGGTGCACAGGCTCTTTCTGCAGCAGAATGCTTCATTCTTAACCACTCGATTATGATTCTACTCAAACCTTTCTTGGTTAATTCATCTTCTACGTGCCTTTAGCTCTTTACCTATCATATACTGCATGTCTAAATGCAGAATGGTCTTTTTAAGACATATAAAAAACTATTTGTATAAGCTAATTTTGCCACCTTTATTTATTGAAAGAAAAAATATTGGGAAGAAAATTAAAATGGAAAAATTGCACATCATGCTAAAGCTAACTCCTGTTGAAATCACTTGTAGGAATTGTCAGTTTTTACCTAAAAAGGCAAGTGTCATATTTATTTTCAGAGGAAAAAAGTAATCTTGTATTTTATATGACTTTGCTCTCTAGATGTTCAGTTTGAGCACTGTGTTAATGGAAAGTATTTCAACACATGAAAATTTAATTTTATTGGAATATGCTAGTGAAATTGAATAGTAGGGTGAAATTAATGTCATTTGTGTGGAATCTTAAAGAAATCAAAAACATAGCCAGTATATTTTTAAAAAAAGATGAGAAAATGTTTGATTTTGTTTCCTATGTTGTATATCATACAGCATACTCAATGTGCCTCTGTGTAAAACCAGAAATGGTAAATCATCAGGGAATAAAAACAGAAGTATGCACACACAGACACACAATCTAAAATATTTTGGTCACAAAGCTTGGACCTCCAGTAGTGGAAAGACCTGAAAGAGCTGGTGATTTTAAAAAATCACATATTTTAGAGAACAGTTAAAAGGCTAGAAGCTAGATTTTGAAGAGTTATATTGCCTTATGTTTATATAATGGCACATTAAAGAAGTAATCTGATTTTACAGAGGGACAATGGTGACTCTGTTGCTGTGATTTACAAAATT